GGAGCCCTGGTTTCCCCACTGCTTGGGCTGCAGAGGGAGATGGCCATGACCCAGTCTCTGACTCTACCAAAGTCACAGCTGGGCCCCGTGTTGACTAGACCTCCTCTTGCAGGTTCTCGTTTTGTCTCTTGGTCTGTTCTTTATAACTTCTGGGGCCCAAGGCTAATTGAAAGGTTCTGGGCTGCTAATTGAAAGGTTGGAGGTTGGAGTGCACTCAGAGGCACCTCAGAAGAGAGTCGTAGCCATCTAATTCCAAAAAGCTAGCCACTGAAAACCCTATAGAGCACAGTTCTATTCTGACACACATGGGGTCTCCATGAGCTGGAATCGACTCCACAGTAACTGGTAATCTTTATGTGCAAAGCTGAAGCAAAGGGCCTTGACACAGGAAACCTCAGAGGTGGTCTGGCTAAATGAAGCGGGGCAGCATTGCTTACAGGCTGAGATTCGAGGCTCCAATGCTGGATTGCCTGAGTTCAACTGGCTATTAGCTGTGTGACCTTGGACAAGTCCCTCAATCTCTCTGAACCTCCGTTTCCTCGTCTGTGAAGTGGAGACGGGAAGTGTACGCTCCCCTCACAGGCCCTTTGTGCAGAATCAATATGCACCGAATGTTGAGAAGTGCCAGGCACTCAGAAAGCTCTCAGGAAACCTCGGGTACCGTTACTGATGTCGCTGTGGATCTTTCCCAGGCGCTACAGGGGAGTCTGGCCTGCCTGGTCTTGGTCATCTTTGTAGCCCCATCTCCAAAAACCAACAGTGGAAAAATCAAATCCTCCTAACACTCCAGAGATCAAGGCTAAGTGGGGACGGAGGCAGGGGAGGGAGGGCAAAGGTTATCTACGTTTTGCAGAAGAGGACGGAGAGGTTGAGCCATTGTCGGAGGTCACTGAGCATCGGAGAGAGTTCCCGGGGACGGAACAGACTCTGGTTGCCCGGCTTGCTCCTGAGAAGTTTGCCGGCAGCGCGGCCGGGTCAGGAGCCAGGCGGCCTGAGTTTGAATCCCGGACAGTGTGTGATTTGAGGCAAGTTCTTAAGCTCCCTGTCCTCAATTTCCTCATCCATAAAGTGGGAATAATCACAGTAGCCACTTCAGAGGGTTGTTGCGAGGCTTAAATGCGCTAATTCATGCCCAGAGCTCAGCAGCTACCAGGCCCAGAATGAGCACGCAAAAAGGTGAGCTCTAGACCCAGGGTTTCCACTGCCCAAGGGGCACCCGGCGGCCCCTGTGCCTGGGGGAGACCCACACTCTTTCTTGGGCGTATCTGGAGACGAAGGCGACCCGGATGGCGGGTGGGCTCCTGGGCCGGCTTCCTAGTGACCCTGGGCTCGCCACCACCCGTCTCCGAGCCTTAACGCCTTATCGTCCAAGAGGAGGAAGATACCGGGGCTTGTGAGGCTAAAATGAGGTAACCCTGACAAGATTCCAGAGCTGTGCAAACGAGCGCCTGCTCTCACTGTCACTGGTGCTGTAGCTTGGTCCGCGCCCCTCCTGGGGTCCCAGACAGCAGAGCCAGCACCCACTTCCATATCTGCCTGCTCATTCGCTGGTAGGTATGGGGGAGCCCCCGGGCAAGCTTGGGGAGCAGGGAGGGACCTTCAGGGCTGCTGTTACTGTGACGACAGGGGGCCCAGACCCAGCTGGCTCCATGCCCCCTCACCCGCCAGGAGGCTCTCCCCATTAGAAGGCATACTCACGACTCACTGTCCCAGGGCCGGGTGGTGACCGAGGCTGAGGAGACACAGCCCTGTGCTCGTCTGTATTTAAGCAGTGGGCGCCCAGGGGCGAGGGGGGAGACTGCTAGTGATCATTAACCAAGGTCAGCACAGCTATCAGAGGAGCAAACAGAGACAAAGTCCATTGGCCGGGCACCGTGCCCCATGCGCTCGGCCTGGCCAGCGCACAGCCCTCCACTCCACACACCACAGAGAGTGATTGTTCCCATCTGAGGTGGGCTGGGATGACTCAGGGACTCCCCGGGATGGCACCGCTCTGCCAGCCCCACGTTTCCCCTCCGAATCCTGTCCTTGGGTAGCAGGAGCTGCCATTTACCGAGCTACCTCCAAATGCCCGGGGTTGAAGGCTCACTGCTCCCTGGGGTGGCAGAGTACGTTATTAACCCATTTGACAGATAAGGAAACTGAGGCCCAGAGAGGAGAGGCCACTCATGCAAAGTCACCAAGCCAGCCTCAGCTACAAAGAGGCTCTCGACTTCCCTGAGGGGACGGTGGGCAGGGCTGCAGGCCTGAGGCCGACAGGGCCACATCAGGCTGACAGGGGGTACCCGTGGGCACAGCCAGGGGTCCCAGAGTCTATCTGCAAAGAGAGCCTGGATTTGGGGTGAGGCCGACCCTGGTCGACTCTTGCCTGCATCTGCCACTGAAGAGCTGTGTGGCCTCAGGCAAGCTGCTTCACCTCTCTGATCCAGGGGGTGTTTTCATCTGTATCATACATCATCTGCCTCCTGGTTGGAACTCCCACCTCCTAGCATTGTTGCCAGGGCTGCACTAAGTAGCTTATATAAAGTCCCTGACACACAGTAGGCTCTTTATCTCCAGGCTGCTCTGAGCAGATGGAGGCTCAATTCCTGGCAGACCAGTGTGACCCACAGACCAAAAATACACAGCTGCCATTGAATCAATTCCAACTCATGGCAACCCCACATGTGCAGAGTAGAACTGCCCCACAGGGTTTTCCAGGCAATCACCAGGACTGTCTTCCGAAGTGCTTCTGGGTGGGGTGGAACCACCAATTTTTTGGTTAATGGTTGAGTGCTTAACCGTTTGCACCACGCAGGGACTGCCCGCATTTCCTCGGGAACACGGCTCTGCGCTGGGGCTGTTGCAGGCCCTTGGCTGCCCTATGGTGGTTGGGAGAGGGGTAGAGGGTGAGGCTGGAGGGACCCCAGCCCCAATCCCAGCTCCACTTGGTTGTGATCCCTTGAAAAACCTAAGTCAGATCACATCACACTTTTCACAAACACTCCACGGCTCCCATCTCACACAGAGGAAATGCTGAAGTCCTTCCAGTGGCCCCCACCCCCCAGAGGCCCCCTTCCTCTCTGATTCACCTCTTGGCACGCTCTCCCTTGCTCACTCTACTCCAGCCACGCCAGCCTCCTTGCTGTCCCTGGAAACTCTCAGGCCTGTTCCGGCCTCAGAGCATTTTCATTGGCTGTTCCCTCTGCCTGCACACTTTTCCCTCACTTCTTTCAGGCCTCTGCTCAAACTACCCCCCTGCCACCCCGTCACAGAGGCTTTTCCCTTTGAACAAGCCAGCACCCACCACCCCAGGCCTCCAGACCCCCACTCTCCCTCCCCTCCCCTTGCGCCTGTGCTGCGGGGATACCTGAGTACCCCACATTACTCGTTGCTGACCTCTGCACCCACACTCCGTGGAGGAGCTGCTGTTCTGCTCTGTCCAAGGGGACCTGGGCCTGGCACCGTGACGCTAAACACACTCAGCAGACATTTGCTGAGTGGGTGGATGAGAGCATTGTTGCCCCTTCTCTTGTTCCCCCAGTCCCCACTTTGCCTTCCCTTTGGGGCTCTGCCAGGTGAGTGCCCCATGAGTTCCTCTAGCAAAATGTTCAGACCAGAGACTCAGAGCCAGGCTGGCAGGGTTTGAATCCTGCTCCCCTACTCCCTGAGCCTCTGGGAATTGAAGCCTTAACTCCACCCTCTCTTTCTGAGTGATCTTCGACGAACCGCTCAACCTCTCTGTGCTGGTTTCCTCATCTGTAACATGGGGATATGATGCCACTGGTTGTCAGACCTCAAGTAAGTTGTTTAACCTCCCTGTGCCTCAGTTTCCCCATCTGTAGAATAGGAACCAGGACGGTACCTAGCTCGTTGGGCGGCTGTGAGGATTAAATGCAGCAGTTCAAGCTAAGCCACGGGCCAAGTTCATGTGTGCACAGTAAGCGCTTTGTGACGCTGCCCGGGGCTCGGACTCAATCCTTGCCCCGCGTGGTGGATCTCCCTGCTGCCGGTGTTCAGGGAAGGCCTCGGGGTGGCTGGTGGGGTGGGGGGCATTGGAGTGACTGGTGGAGTAGGGGGCACTGGGGTGACCAGTGGGGTAGAGGGCCTTGGGGTGACTGGCAAGGTGGGGGGCCTCAGGGTGGCTAGTGGGGTGCAGGGTCTCGGGGTAGCTGGTGGGGTGGGGAATCTTGGAGTGACTGGGGGTGGGGGACATTCTAGGAACTTTCCTCCAGGCGGCTGGACCCCATGCCAGTCGTCCTCTCATTCAGCACACACAGCACCCCTGGAGGTGGTGTGTACCCCTGCCTTTACAGAAGTGGGAAGTAGGCTCAGAGAGGCGAGGACTCCCCAGCTTCCCCACTTGGCTCCATGGTCCCTGCTCCATCTCCTGAGCCAGCTGAGTGGCCATCCACCCAGGATTTTACATCTGGTCACATTCTGGAGAGATGTGCCTTCAATACCTTCTGGGTAAGTTTTTGCTCTGGGCCTCAGTTTCCCCATCTGTACAACAGCCTTGAAGCCCAGCTGCTCCTCCCAACTCTTGCATTGGGTGGGCAACGCTCTCTTGGCAGGCCCACTCCATGCCCCTGGCCCTGCTTTCCCCCAGGGGCCTGGGGACTGGTCAGAGGGTGCAGTCCCCTGTACCTTGAATTCCCGGCGTGACACGCCTCCTGTGGTGGTCCAATCTGTCTTCCTCCGCAGCTCGTGGCACCGAGTACTTCTGCGGGGAGGTCGTGGGTGTCTGCTGCCCAGGAGGAAGAAGGCTTGTGGCCTGGGAGGGCGGAGGCACAGGGGCAGGAAGCTGCGTTGCACAAACCTGTCGTTGCCAGGCAGATGCCAGAGCTGCCTTTCCCAGCCCAGGCAGGCCTGCGTGGCACCTGCTTGTCTGCTGGGTCCGGCTTTGTGGCCCAGGACAAGTCACCAGCTGGTCTGAGCCTCTGTAAGCGAGCTGGCCACACCCGCTTGGGGGTTAATGGAGATGAGAGGCCTCACCTTCCTGGCCCAGGGCCTGGCGCAGGGCATCTGGCAGGGGCCCAGGCCAGCTGCAGAGAGAAGAGGACGGAAGCACCCCTGAAATGCCCACAGGAGCCCTGTGGAGCCTGGGATGTGTGTGTGGTGGGGGAGAGGCGTGTATCACAGAGCCTGGCAGGGAGCAGGAGAGATGGCAGATGGTGGGTGGTGGTGGGGGGCATGTAGAGAAGAAACGAAGAAAGAGTAGGGTAGACTGAGGGGTCCAGGGCTCCATGCTCAGCACTTCCTTATCCTGATCCTCAAACTCCCATTCTCCTCCCTAGTATTTCATGCTGCGGAAGTGCCTCTGGGCACCCATCCTGAGGAGAAGCAGTGGGGCGATCTGGGAAAACGAACAAGGACAGAGCCCACGAGGACACCAGTGGCCAATCTTGAGGGCCCTGAACCCTGTGAACCAGAGGTCACGGGCAGGAGAACCTTGTCCACTCGGTCACTTCTGGAATTATCTATTGCATTGCCTGGGTGGGTTCCTTGGGAGTGAACACATCATGGGAAATCTTGTGGGCAGATTGGAGACAAAAGACATCTGGAGAGACCCCGCCCCTCCGTAAAAATAACAAAAAACAAAACCAGTTGCCATTGAGTCTATTCGGACTCATGGCGACCCCACGCGTGTCAGAGTAGAAGTGTGCTCCATACGGTTTTCACTGATTTGTCAGAGGTAGATCGCCAGGCCTTTCTTCCTAGGCACCTCTGGGTGGATTTGAACCACCAACCTTTCAGTTAGTAGCTGAGTGCGTTACCATTTATGCCACCCAGGGTCTCCAGTAGGGCCCTGTAAAGGGATGGGCACTCCATTGTGTAGGATAGGGAGAGGCATGAGAGCTGAGGCTTGGGGTCTGCAACAAGGGGGAGAGCAAGGGTGTGGGGTGTGCTGGAGAAGGTCCCTGGGCCAACTAGACCAAGGACTAAGGGTCCTTAATTGCTCAGGAGTCAGGAATCCCCTGGACTTCAGGGGAGCTGAACCCACTGGCAGGAGAGTGTGGAAACCAGTCTGTACTCCCCCCTACCAGACACTCACATACCAGGCACCCTCTGTCTCAGATTCCCCCTTCCCATTGCCATGCACTGGCTCCCTTCTTTAGGGGAAGTGTAGGTCAGTGGTTAAAGCACAGACTCAGGGGCTAAGCTATCAAGCCTTAACTCCACCTCTTTCTTTTTGCATGATCTTAGACAAGCCACTTCACCTTTCTTTGCCTGTTTCCTCATCTGTAAAATGGGCATATGAACAGTCACTTCCACCAGGATTACATAACATGCAAAGTGCTTAGAGCAGCCCTGGCGCATGGTCCCAAGTCAACGTCAGCTGCTGTTACGGTCTGTGGGAACGAGCCCTGGATCTGGAAAAGCTTTCTGGTGGGTCCCAGAGGCCTGAGTGGGAGAAAGACCCCTGCATTTGGTCCCATTTGGGTAGCAGCACTCCTAGACCAGGGCCACCTCCTCAGATTCAGGCCTCCACCGATCTGAGAAGGCCACCCATCCTTTCTCCAGGGGCCTGTGTTCATTTTGCTTCCTGGAGGTGCAGGACCAGATGCAGCTAGCGTCTACCCGAGCGCCTGTGAGCGCGGTGCTCCGAGGTGGGCCTGGGCAGAGGGAGCCGGGCAGCTTTGGACGCAGTGGCGAAAGGGTTTTGCTTCGCCTCTCTGAGCCCCAGCTTCCTCATCTGTAAAATGGGGATAAGAGTCCTTTTCTCAAGGTTGTTGTGAGGTGCTGCCTGTGGATATTTAACAGTTGTGCCAGCAGAGTTGACACCGCGGCTGCCCTCTCAGAACTCACTTTAGTTACTCGGGCTATCACCGGTGGGTGAAGGAGATTTGCATAGTTTGACCGCCTCCTCTTGGCACTCCTGTGAATCTGCCAACTTGCAACATCCCGGTGGACCCTGGCCCTCCTGTATGCAACCTCCAAGCCTGCTTCCTATACCTGGTACGATTCCTGAACTTCCCAGAACTATTTGGCTTATTCACAGTTCCTTGTTTTCACTCCTCAGCCCATGCAGACAGAGAAAAATGAAGCCTATCAGTGCATTGGACGGGACAATAGAGTTAGTAGAAGGAATAAAATGCGCATCTATAGTTTCATCCCCCACTCATTAAAATAAAATGAACATTCTGTTATGACTAACCTTTCCTACACTGTAATTTTGAAAGCTGGACAATAATAAGGAAGACAGAAGAAGAATTAATGCCTTTGAATTATGGTGTTGGTGAAGAATATTGACGGTCCCATGGACTGCCAGACGAACAAACAAATCAGTCTTGGAACAAATACAGCAGAACGCTCCTCAGAAGTGAGGATGGCAAGACTTCTTCTCATGTACTTTGGACATGTTATCAGGAGGGGACCAGTCCCTGGAGAAGGACATCATGCTTGGTAAAGTAGAAGGTCAGTGAGAAAGAGGAAGACCCTCAATGAGATGGATTGACACAGTGGCTGCAACAGTGAGCTCAAGCATAACAATGATTGTGAGGATGGCGCAGGGCTGGGCAGTGTTTTGTTCTGTTGTACACAGGGTCGCTGTGAGTCGGAACCGACTCGAAGGCACCTAACAACAACAATAAAACCCTGTGATTGTACCCTTTGAGTGCCGTTATGGACTCGCAGCTTTTAGGAGTCTCAGCCTGTCCTATTTAACTATAATGATTATTTCCTTTGCGGTGTTCTCTTTGTCGCATTCCTGCCAGTAGGAGCCCCGTTAACTTGTCTCCTTTCTCCCTTCAGCAATCCCTGCGTACATTCTGGGGAGCACACACAGACTTTGTAGTGGGGACACCATGACTCAGCCCATCCTCACTGTTCCCGGCCCCAGGACACTGCATGTCGTCCTTGACCCTCTCTGAGGCTCCCTGCTGGAAGGGGAGAGGACAGGGGGCAGGGGCGGCATGGACAGGGCTGCACGACAGGACTCACCCCTGAGGGGGGCATGGGGACCCAGCAGGACACTGAGACTTGTTTTTCAGAAACACACGTCCTGTGTGGGCGGCTTAGATAATGGGGAGCAATAGGGCTTCTAGAACTTGCCTCATGACCTTGGGTTGAAGTGGTTCGATTGCCTATGTTGACTTCCCTCCATGTTGACTTTAAGCATTCCTGTTTGCTCACATTCTACAATACAAATCCCCAAACTGCCCCAATGTGCAGCATAGCACCACCTGCATCACAGCTGATGCTTCTCGGGTGCTTATTACGTGCTAGGCTCTGTCCTAGATGTTTTATGTGTATTAACTCACAATCCCACGTGGCGGGTACCATTAGTATCCCCTGAGTGCAGATGGGGAAACCAAGGCACGGAGAGCTACTACAATGCTGAAAATGCAGCCAGTCTGCCTCTCTCCTCCCCTTCCCTCCTGCTCTTCCTTCCTTCCTTTCTTCCTTCCTTCATCCCTCCCTCTCTTCCTCCCTCCCTCCCTTCCTCCCTCCCGTCCTTCCTTCCTCTATAATCAGCTTATGGGGCTGGCTTCCTTACTTCTCCCATCTATTAGCGTACCTGCTCACTTGCACACTCACTAAATACCTGTATTGCTCTCCTTTTGGGTGCCAGGAACTGTGCTAGGCTCTGGGTTTGCAAAGGTGAGAAGACATTGTCCCCACTGTCTAAAACTCACGCTCTGGTGGGGGCCAGGCCTGGGAGCCATGGAGGCTCTTCCACATGTCGGCGGAGGGAGGATCAAGTAGAGGGATGGACGGGGGAAGTGGGTTCAAGAGATAAGCAGGAGGCAGGGGTGGCAGGAATGGGTGACAGGTCGGAGGGCTGACATTCGAGGTGAGGGCCAAGACGGTGCTGGGGATGAAATCAGATCTCTGAACTCTCTGTTCAGGTCTCTTTCTGCCAACCCTCCTCGCCTCCTTGGATAGGGCCTCTCTCCTCTCTACTCCCCCCAACCCCTGTCCCCCATGCCAGGAAGGAACAAACTGTCCAAAGGCAGGTTCACAGCCAGCTGGTAGTTCGGAGATGATGAAATGTCTGGATGAGGGATTTCACAACATCTGTCCTGTTGCTGCTCCTTGCCACCCACCTCTGCTCTGGGGCTCAGGCCCCGTCACCGCCCTGCCCCTCCTCCTGCTGGGTACTCACCAAACAGTGAGACCCAACTTGACTGGAGAAACTTGCTTCTCCTCAAGTCCTGTCCAGTGGGGGCTGCTTGCTCTCCAACTTTCCCTGGACTCGCTCACTGCTCAGGTCTCTTTCTGCCCATCCTCCCTGCTCCCTTGTACAGGGTCTCTATCTACTTCCCCCCACCCCATGCCAGGAAGGAGAAGATCGCACCATCCCTTGGGTGCAGAAGAAGGTCCCATTCTCCTGTCCTCGCTGCCATCTCTGAACCTCTCCTCTTCCAGCAGTTACACAGCCTCCCTGGATGGCCCCACACCCTCCCAGCCTCACCCCTGACGTCCACAGGCCTGGACATCACACCCTGTTGTTGTTGTTAGCTGCTGTCAAGTCAGCTCCGACGCAGGGTGACGTCATGTACAACAGAACAAAATGCCGCTCGCTCCGGAAGTTCTCATCTTCCAGCACTCTGTTGGACAATGTTCTATTGTGCCCCGTAGAGTTTTCATTGGCTGGTTTTTGGAAGCAGATTTCTAGGCCTTTCTTCCTAGTCTGTCTTAGTCTGGAAGTTCTGCTGAAACCTGTCCACCATGGTGACTCTGCTGCTATTTGAAATACGGA